GGCCTCTCTCATCTTTTTAAGTGGGAGAACTTGCACAATTGGTGGCTGACTAAATACTTTTTTGCCTCACTGTAGTTAGTTCCTCTGCGTAATTGGAAGAAGCAATAACCTTGAGGAACAGGAAGAAGAGCCACAGATAAAAGAAATCTGTGTCCAGGCCAGATTTGTAACCCGAATAAGCATCTCAGACAAGACCTACCTAGTTCTCACGAAGATAAATGGGGTGATAGGGGTGTTAAGTGCATTCAGACTTGTAAGATTCTGTAATAAAAGTAGTATAGCATGTGTGACTTTGGTTTCCTAGTCTGGTTTACCTTGGTGGGCTGACACACTGTCAAATACTGTTATTGGTTTTTCCTAACAGTCAGAATCTGCCTTCTTGTATTTTAGATCTTGGAATCTGCTTTCCTGTAAATTAAATATATTAAACCTAAACCCCAGGGTAATAAAAACAAGTTTTGACCTTCTTCTGTGTGACATCCTTCAGGTACTTATGGAGTGTTACCATACCCCTCCCTGCTTCCAGTTTTCTCTTCTGAAGACTAAACATTCTGAGTTCATTCAATCTTTCACCACAGGATTTAGGTTTCTAGGCCTCTTACCCATCTTTACTTGACTTCTCTGAACCTGTTCCAGTTTGCCTGAGTAATTCTTAAAACATAATGCCCACCACTGGATATTTCACTGAAAGTGACATCTGACCAATGCAATGGAACTATGAGTTTCTGATTTGGAAACTATTATTTCTGTTGATGCAGCCTAAAACTGCATTTCCCTTTTTTGCAGTCACATCATACTCCTGGCTCATAGCGTTTGCAATCAACTACTCCTGCCTACTTTGAGCTCCTTTTTCCATTAGTTTTCATTACAAAGAATCCTACTTAAACTTGCTTCTGAGTTCATTAAAAACTACTTGTTGGACTGTACTCATCAATAGTTTCCCTTGAACTCTAGCAATACAATGACCCTTTCCCCCTTGCGTTCCTACTATTTCCACTTCCTCAACTACGACTTCTGTATTGGTTAATGTCAGATCATTTTCTGCCTTCCTCTTCTGCCTTCCTCATTTATTCATTCATTCATTCATTCATTCATTCATTCATTCATTCATTCATTCAAATGTACTGTCTGCTCAATTCCAGTAGACTCTACCATCTGAAGAACAAAGTTCTTGTAAAAATAAGTCACAAATTTCCTGGAAGGGCCATCCTTGGCACCATTTGTCCCCTAACACTCAGTAGAGTAATTAAAGCCTCCCACTACTATGACTTCCTGTCTCTTTGAAGATGTGCAGTTTGCTTTTGGAAAGCAGTATGCATATCTTCGTGGTTGGGCAGGTAATAGTATTTTACTCGTACCTCCACTTATTTTAACTCAGCTGCTCTCTATAGCATTGCCAAGTTCATTTGTCTCAATTTTGGAGCATTTATGAATATTTTTAACTCCTCCTTTTCTACTGCTTTTGTTCCTTTTGAACAAATTATATTGCTATATTCCTGTCATGGAAGTCAACCCATCCAGTCTCCATTATACCTATTAAATCAGATTTGCCTTCCTGTACCAAAAGTTCAAGCTCATCTTGTTTATTTCCCATGCTCTGATCATTAATGTATAGTGGCTTAATAACCCTGTTGAAGTAGTATTCCCCCTTCTTTTTAGAGTGCAGAAAGCTTGATCTGAGGCCTTAGTTAATGGTTTTCCTTCTCAACTCCCAGTGGATTCAGTTTAAAGCTCTCCTGATTAGGCTGAACATGTTTCAGCCAAATGCATTTTTACCAATCCTTATGAGGTACAACCCACTTCATGCCAGCAGTTGATCCTCCAGATAATGCAATCATGGTCCTAGAAACCATTTAAATGGCTGGTGATCCACCTCCAGTAGTCCTTTTCCTTTCCAGTCCTCCTACAGAGACCAAAGGGTGAATGACCACATTACCTACATTGAAATCATTGATTTCAGATAATTAAGCCTGAATTCAACTCTATGGATTTTATTTAATAAACATTTAAATTTGTTTTGCTTCACACTTAATATCAGATGAGGTTGAAAAACTTGCTTCTGCTTTTATCCTTTTTCTGCTCTGCTATTAAAGTGAAGTAGCTTGTTAAAAGCAAGCTGATTTTAGAAAATTGGAGTCTCAATTCAACAGCAGGGACAGTGTGCATGATTTAGTGGATAATACTGCCTGTGGTTAAGTCTCTACAGATGTTCTGTGATCACATATTGTCTTTTCTTTGTATTTAGTATACTTGTTATTCTATATTGTCAATAATTCCATTTGTTTTCCCTTCTAAATTGCCTGACAAGCAATTTGTCATGGTTTTGTTTACAGAACTAATTATCAGTGCACGGTTTTTAATTTACTTTTTCTAGAAAGATTCATTGTACTTTCTTTGCTTTGGTTTTTGTTTAAATCCCCTTTGAAGTTAAGACTCTGAAAGAGCCAGGTATAAATTAAGCTATTCAATGAACAATAATTCTGTCTGCACAGCAAGGATAGATGGACGGGGTCTCAGACTTTTGGTGTAATCAAGAGTGGCTCCTCAAAACATCACTAAGGTGTGATCACAGCTAAAATTTTGACTGTAAAGAGAGAACAACAAATCATTAAACAAAATGAAGGTTTACAGGAGAGTGAGAGCAGCAGAATTCAGGAGGTATTAAAACGTTATTGCCACTGGGAAGGCTGCAAGGATCAAACCTCCAAGGAAATAGATGGTAGGCCTTCTGAAAAGAGAATTCCAACATCTGATGAGACAGTAACCCAACTGTGGAGCAGTGAAGGAAGGGTAAACTTTTTGAGAAGCTATTACCTGTGTCCCCAAAGTCCTCTTACATTTTTTTATTGCCAGTAAAGCTACTTGAATAGAAGAGAACAATTGCTAACAGCTGGGCTCCTGGCAAGAAAGATGTTTTTTATTACAGCAGCTGTCTAAAATAAATCCATAGTCTCCATTCTGAGCTATAATATGTGCAACTATTTCACTCTGGAGGTATCTCAGCAATCTTGCCCTAACTAAAACACACTCAGGTGGAACATGCCCAGGCTACCTTCCTTTTTCCTTCTCCTCATTACTATCCTTGAAAGGTAATTCTTCATAAAAGGTAGACTACTCTTAGTATGCAACAAATGTCTCTTCATTTCTTGTAATATAATTTATTAAGTCAAAAGTTAAAATGGAGGAGGAAATGCAAATATTGTTATGTTTCAAGTGAATAGGAGCATACTATGCATGATGTTTAAATAAAATATATGGTATTTTTGCCTTTGGCCTGACTGGATGTGCTTTCAAACTTTTACTGGTTTAAGAAAAATCCAGATTAGCTGCAGCCATCTCTCTGCATATAATATTTATATGTGACCAAACCATGTGTATTGATGCCTGCTGCCAATGAGGAAAGAGCTAATGTCATTGACTGGTTGATTGACTGATTGATTGCTATCAAGTTGATGTTGACTCTTAGCAACCACACAGATAGATTTTCTCTACAACAGTATGTCCCCAACTTGGTCCTTCAGGTCTTCCAACAGTGTACACATCACCACTATGATTGAGTCCATCCATCTTGCTGCTGGTTATCCTTTTCTTCTCTTTCCTTCCATCTTTCGTAACATTTTACCGAGAGATCTTCACACGATGTGTCCAAAGTATGATAATTTGAGCCTCAAGTGATTTATTCAATTATCCATTTGCTTGCTTTCTTGGCTATCCATGGTTTTCTCAGGAGTCTTCTCCAACGTTAAAAAGTGTCAGTCCTGTTTCCAACTTTCATTTTTACAAAGTGTCACAGGGAAAACCATTGCCTGCACTATTCTGATCTTTGTAGGTATAGACACATCTCAGCATCTGAATATCTTATGCAAGGAATGCTAGTCTGTGACATGTTTCTTGACTGCTGGTCTTTTTACTGTCGTTAGTCAATCTTAAAAGGTAGAAGCTATCCATCACTTCAATATTTTCATTGTCAGTTCTAAAGCTGGTTGCTATACTTGTTGTCGTTATTTCAGTCTTTATAGTTAAACTTGGGCCCATTTTCTCACTCTCCTCCTTGATTTTTACTACTAGACTTTATTTGCATTTTCAGCTATCAGAGTGTCTTCAGTGTAGCACAGGTTATTGATGTTTCTTCCTCCAATTTTAAAACCACACACTTCTTCTTCTTGTAATCTAGCTTCCCTCAATATTTATTCACCATATAGGTTGAATAAATAAGGAGAGAGTATAATAAGTATGTCATTAAGTTCTACCAATACTTTTTTAATGAAAGGGCTTATGGAATAGTAAGCATTTCCTGGAAAAAGTATATGGCAATCCACAACAGTGATTCTTAATCTAGAGCCAGTGGTAAAGAAACTTGACAGTTAAGCAAGTTGCATTAACAGAGTCAGAACCTGCATATAATACTGTGATAATGCCAATATTCAGACGAACGTTCTTTGGTGGGAATACTTCTGGTTAAGCTTGGGTTTAGGAAGTGAAAGTGCTGCCTCAGGGAAAAACAAAATGCAAATGACAGCATGAGTCTTTTTCTTCTTGGTATGCAGCAAGTTCCCTGTAGGCATAAGATAGTATATAATTTACATATTGCAAGCACCAGTGTGTGGGACGAACTAGTTATATTTCAGATAAATTTAGAACTGAAGGGGATGCAGGTGAACCAGGATAGAAGAGAAAAAATAAGTAAAGGGTGAAGATGGCAAGGCCATTCACATCTGGGATTCATGAATGGGGGAGGGCATAGATGGGAGAAGTATCTGTACTGTGATACTAGCCCCCAATCAGATTTTTCTAAGAATAGCAGGAGAGAAAGCCAATAAAGACTCTGACTTGAGCTTATTCAAGTTGGAATTGCACTGTTTCCATTATGTGTTGAATACAGAACTCAAGGAGTTAACATATTAACTTTTTAGTCATTTCACCCCTTGTGTATTCTTTCATTTGATGGACTATCTGCCAATGTGGCACATCAGTGAGGAAACTTTCACATTGGCACTGAAGTGTGTGACCGTTGCGTTGCAGAGGAATTTGTGTAGGGAATACAGTATACAAAATCCACTGCAGTCAAAAGAAAATGGAAGTTTGTATTGGCTGAGGGTGAAATAAAGGAAGGACTATAGATATGTTTACCTTTACTACTGCATATCATCTTTACAGCATCTAAAATGGTATGGCTCAAAATATTCCTTGTATATTATAAATCAATATAATTATGACAGTAATCCAGCAATCAGTATTCACTGATTAGAAACAAAACAATCTTGCAAAATATACTGCACTGAAAGTAGCATCTCTCTTTGACACAGGAGCACATGCCAACCTTTCTTTTCAATGGCTATGAAGACTTAGATACCTTCAAGCTCCTGGAGGAAGAAGATTTGGATGAGCTCAACATTCGGGATCCTGAGCACCGAGCTGTTCTCTTGACAGCAGTGGAGCTCCTACAGGAATATGACAGTGAGATAGATCATCTTTTCCAGTGAACAGCTAAGGATCTGTTACCTACTTGGGAGTTTGGAGACTCTAATTGTGAACCTCATAGATATTGAAAATCAAGGCTTGCAGGGAACTAGAGAGAATGCAAAATAATCATAAATGGTTTGTAAGAAATAAGGGTCACTGTGCATAGGAAGACTTCCATAGAGGGTAAGGCAGTTCATAACTAGAGAACCTGCCAAGGCAGGGCTTGTACAGATCACCTGATAAGAAGCCCACAGAGGTTCTCCTCTGACCTGAATAAATTCTGAGGTGGAGAAGAATTCCCAGTTTTCCCCACCAGCACATGAAAACATGCTTCCCCTAGTTTTTAATTTTAGTTTAATTTACATTAATTTAGTTACATAGTAGCTGCGTGAGCAGAAGCATCTTATCCATAGGAAGCACAGAGAAGGAGGGTTCTGTTTTTCCAGCCTCCTGAGTGCTTTGCTCCAGGGTGGAAAGACTGAGGAACTCTGAGGAATTTTTGTAGACCTTGAATTTTAAGTTTCCAAACATATCCAGCAGTGGCTGTGTTACAGCAAAACTGCTTAGCAGTGATAACTGAAAATTCCTTAGTCTTCTCCCTCCTTTCTCACTGTCTTCTCAAGTTGAAGTATTCCAAGAGAACAACTTTACTAGCATTTGCTTATAAATTCTTTTACAGGTTGCTTGGTATAAAAGAGATTGTTTTCAATCTGTATAAATGCCACTTTCTCAGTTTTGCTATTACTGTCCTATTCTTAAGGTAACAGTGACCAGTCAGGCTCCCAGGAGAAACTCCTTGTAGATGGCCAAGACGTGAGTGGATGTTCTCCCCGGGATTCAGGCTGCTATGAAAGCAGTGAAAACTTGGAGAATGGTAATCTCAGCTGGGCTCATTTGAATTGCATGCCTAATTCATTAGCTTCTAAAGAAGCATGAGATTCTGATTCCAGGAACAGCACTTACAGAATTTCTTTTAGTGATGAGTTTGGCACTGTTTTCATTGTCATAATCTAACAATTGTTGCAGACCTAATTAGTGGAGACCCACTTAGTTTATGGAGTTTGTGCACTTTTCCAAGGTTCTGTGGACAGAGCATTTCCCTGCACTGTATATAAAATGTTTGTTTTTCAGCTTTGTTTTTTGTAGTTGCTTTTTTTAATATTCATGTAGTATGAAGGTCTCCACCCTTTTCCTGCATGCAAATAGCATTGAATGAAGTTTGCTCGGCTGGCATAAAAGCATAATGAGGAAGTGTTCCAATGAAGATTTAACTCATCTGCTTACAACAGATTGAGGAAATGATTCAGAGCCTTTAAAAAAGACTGTTTTCTAGGGAATAACTTCTTTACTTGAAATGCATGTGGCATCCTTCTTGGCTCAAAGCGCTGTGTTGCTGAGCTCCTATTGGAGCCTTTTATGTAAACTGCAGCATGTCAACTAGAATGAAGCACTGACAGCCGGTAAAGCGAGACCCACCTGCTGTGCACTGTCCTAGTGATCACAGCTTCTTTCAGACGTATGTAAATGGAATGCATCTCTTTCTGAGTAACAGGCTTCAGCGCAAGAAGTGGGTGGCAAAATACAGAGAAGCATATTCCAGGTTTCCCTAAAATCACGTTGGTTTCCCCAAATCAACGCATACACTATCTGCCAGGGATCTGTTTGAATCAGAGTGTCACAGTAATGCACAGAAAGTTTTAACAGAGCTTACCATTTAAGATTATGAGGGCATTTCAGGAACGTGTTTTAGAACCCTTTTGCCATTTGCTCCTTTTCTATCACGCAAATAAACACATTTATTGCATATGTTCATTTAGCTTTAAAAAGGTTAAGCAGAAGCTCTTTCAAGCGCAGGAGTTTTGTTTTATGGTATTTAACTTGCCTGTGCCTCCAGATCTCTAGCTCTGGGAAATTTCCAGTTGAGGAACTGAATATTCTCTCCTGAGTTAACCATTTCAGGTTGAGGGAAATGTCAAATGAACTGAGTGAAGGATTAAACTGCCCCTTTTCATATACTGTGGTCCTGATTGCTCTTTAAAGTTTAAAACTTAGACAAACTGCAACTGTACAGTTAATATCCCATTATCCTCAGGGTTTTGTTTTTCCACACATACATCAAAGATAAATAATGAAGCATGGGTATTCATGGGGGGGGGACAAGGAGGGAGCAGATGACGACACAGGTATCACAATGTCAGTGACAGCGCATTTGCATCAGACGTGGTGCAAGCACGAAGGTGAGTCCTGTGCTTGGTGACTTCACCATTTTGAAATCATTGCACTTTGCTGAGTAAAGACTTGCTACTGCTGAGTAAAGACTTGCTACTAATTGTACGCTATAAAGACTGCTTCTTAAGTAAGAGATAGTAGCTTTTGTTATTCTCCCAGAATCAAGGTGCTAGGTATTATTTTCATTCTTCCAGGGGGTTTTTTCCCCTACGTCAGTCCTTACATGTGTCACTTGCTCTGTTGCACATTCAGAATGAAAACTGATTCCTGCTGTGGATGTTACATAGGAATATTTGCAAGATGCCCTAATACTTTAACAAAAGGTACCTTTAAGGGTTGATACAAAGGTATTCATTGGATGCCTTGCTTCTATTGATATATTTTTCTTTTGGGTTGATATAAAATATCCTCTCCATGGTATTTTTATCAGTGCTTTATGGATATTACTTCTAACATGATCAAGAAATGGTATAAAATCTACAACCATGTTTTGTTTTAAAGTCAAGCAGTAATTTAGGAATTTGCTGTGGTTTCCCTAGTATTTGCAATACTATTTTCCATAACTATTTTGTGCTGTAATTTCCAGGATTTCATTGTAAACAGAGATCAAATGCATACTTAGCAAGCCTGATTCCTGAATTGTGATAACGGCCAATGTATGTGGCTTCCCTGTGGTTCCTGAGATTGTCATCTCACTGTGTGAAAAAACAGTCCTTTGAGTTCACCTTCATTTGTCTTAATACCGCTCTCATTTTCAAGAGTACAAAATGCATTTCAAGTTCAAATGATCTATGTACTGTGAATAAGAAAGCAAAACAGCTATGCAACTATTGTCAGAGCTAGGGATAATAAATACATTTTCTATTAGTAGTAAAGGTAAACAATATTACTAGACCATCCTTCCTAAATGGTTCAGGGTAGTTTACATTAAAATTTAAGCCATTTTGTATATTAAAACAAAATAACACAGGAAAAGCAACATAACATTCATATTAAAGCCATTTAAAACTGATCAACATTATTAAAAGCCAGGCTCACTCTTTTAAAGGCCTCCAAAAAAAGTAGAACCCTGAAATTTCCCAGGAATGCATCCTATCTGTTAGGAGTAACGACGGAGCAGACTCAGCACCAAGTTGCCACCAGATAAGCTGGTAGCATCTAAAGGTGGAGTATTCTGTCAATACTAATAAGCTGTAGGAAAGTTTTTCTAACATTTGCCTTTTTGCTATGCAGCTTTCCAAGATATATGGTTTTCTGCTACAGAGGTTGGGCTCAGAAGTACTTTGAAATGGATATTAATAGATTCTATTAAGTAAGTTTCCACCTGTCTCATGATAGATTTTGTTTGATGGATCATGAAATCAAACTCTATAGTTTTCCCATTGACTTCAATAATGCTTCATCTATAAAAATGGCAGAAAAAAAAACTAAAGCCCATTTTTCTAGTAAGTATGATTTCTTTCAGATATACCTCTTTTATAAACATGTAATGTTTATTTGGTTTTGTTTCAGCTAAAATGCAACAGCCTTGCCTCCTGCCGTCAAAATTAGCCAGTGAATATAATTTGAAGGATTTCCACCGAAACCCACTAGTGAATTTTCCAAATCTACCCTTAACTAAATCAACAGACGCTTTTCAGCAAGAAGAGAAGACCCAGTTCAGCTCTGTGCATCAAATTTCAAAAAGCTGTCTCAAGCCTCCAGCAGCCATGGGTTTCAAGAAGAAAGGCAGAAGTTTGCCAATTGGTATCTATCGAAGTTGGGAGATTTTAGAAAGTGCCCCGAGTATGCCTATGTGGCCAAGATCCCATTCTCTTGGAGATCTTCATGGAAACATTGGCGCTGATAATATAAAATCAGTGGATACCTTACCTTTGGATTCAACAAAAAAGTCAACTGATTCTGAAGATGTTGAGCAGATGATAAAACTGATGATGGCTAATCAAAGAAAAGGGGTTGTTGATGCACTTAAGGGGGAAAAAAAGGAATTCCATTTCTCAGCAACCATGCCTTCTACTAGAATGCTTCCTCGGTGTTTGACTCAGAATTGTGATATTCGGACATCTTCACTTTCATATGGTATGACCTGGACTCCTTTTGAAAGCTGTAAAAAAAGCACCCTTGATCTTGGAAAAGCTAATCGTTCTATTTCCAAAGAGAATATGGAAACTGATCAGAAGGATATGGGTGAAGCAAAAATGCAACCAAAAGCATCTTCACAGCCACCACCAGTCCCTGCAAAAAAAAACAGAGAACGCATTTCTAATGGACACTGTCATCTCCCCTCAGCCCTTTCTTGTTCAGATGTACCATCCTTGCCAGCAAAAAAACTTACCCCATCTGGGTCCTCCAGTTCCCATGAACTGACTGCATACAGAACATTTCCTGATCAGGAACCCAAAAGTCCTTCCAGCATAAGGCCTCCTTGGTTGTCAGACCTTCCAGAAACAGCTAGTGTCCAGCAACATGTGTTAAAGCTAGATCCTTCTTCAGTAAGGAAGATATCCTGTAACAGAGGACTGGATCTTGAAATGTTGATAGAAAGCAAGCTGCAGTCTGAAGATATTGATCTTACAGAGGAGCCATATTCTGACAAGGTGCTGGAAGATTAAAATTTTCCTAACATTAATTCTTTTGAATGCCTTTTCAATTTTTTTCACTTTTAGAATGTCTTTTATCATATCCCAAATGTATCCATATATTTTAGCAATCATATGTAGGCATACAGTGTCCCATGTAGTGAGTAAGCAAGAGTAATTACTGTATACCAAAAATGTAACAGAAGTTCCAAATCCTAACTCTGATGTAGTTTCCATGTGGTGAACATCATCTGTATGGCAGCACATAATGGACTACCAATAAAGGCCATTATCTATATTGCCCACGGGTATGTAAAATTAGCCTTTGTCAAAGGAACAAATCATAGTTGTTTGTATATTTACTTAGATTGGACTCAATCAAGCAAAATTAGGGACATCTCTTTTTTTGATGCCTTCAAGTCATTGTTGACTCCTGGGGACTGCCTGGACAAGTTCCTGCAGTTTTCTTGGTAGGATTTTGGAAGTGGTTTGCCATTGCCTGCTTCCTAGGGCTGAGAGAGAGTGACTGGCCAGTCACTGGCTTCGTCCCAAAGGTGGGACTAGAACTCCTGGTCTCTCAGTTTGTAGCCTGGTGCCTTACCTACTACACCAGACTAGCTTTCTAGGGACATCTTAGTTCCATCTATTTTAGTGACAAAGTTAAGTGCATATTGAAGTGTGCCTTTTTAAAGTGCTTTCATTTCAGTTGGTGAGGCCCTTTACACCAATGATATCCTCAAGACCACCCTTCCCCTATGTGATGCCTTTCAGGTATCTCAGGTTTAACACTCATAACCTCAATCTGCATGGAAATTATGGGAAATACATTTGGAGAGCAACAGATTAGGGAAGGTTGCTTAAAATATCTCATTTCAAAAGCAACACAAAGATTACATAGCAAAGTAAGTCTCCCAATAATTTTCTTAAGGCTTGTTAAGAAATAGTTTTACTACCTAATCATTCACAGAAAACTCTTATACAAACTACTGAAAAAAATTAATCAAATCATAAATAAAGATGTGCATCTGGAAAGAACAGTTGCCAAGCTAAACTTCTTATAGTTTTTTAAGGAACCATTATTTAATACCTGAAGGAACACTTTGGCTAACTAGAATTTTATTTGGTATTACTTGGATCTTCTTCTGAAAATCTGCAGCACGGCCGTTGTGGGATTCCTGAACCTTTGGTGCAAAGATATGCTGAAGACTTAGATCAGCCTGAAAAGGATGTTGCTACGAACCTGGACCAAATACGGGTGAAGCAGCTGAGAAAACAGCACCGTATGGCAGTAAGTCTGCACTGAATGCACTGTGGCAAGTTCAAGGGCCTGTGATAAAAGCAAAGAAAAACTGAGTCTTTTGGGTATTTTGCCATTTCTAATTGCAGGTTGGAAAAGTATCCCTTGAATACACTGCACATTAAAAAATGATCAGCGTATCTTTTTATGTTTTTTAAAAAACCACTCACATATAAAACTAGCCTAATCTTTGGTTTCTTGGCAATGGTGACAACTGCCAACTTTTGCAGTGCTAGTGAAGGACTGATAGGAAAGCTACTGGCAACTCTCTCATAGTCCTTGACAGATGGTGGAATCTTAGATTACACCCTGCCTATCAGTCTCCTCCACCAGCAGTGAGTAAGCCTCACAGGAGTTGCTCCCAATGTATCACTAGCATCCTTGCCTTAAAAGACTTCTTGATCATGTTTTCTATTTTTTAATGTGCTGCTTCCACGGGGGCTATTAGAAGCTGATGCCATGAAGCAGATTACCATTTCGTGTGAAATTCCAGGTGACCATTCACCATAAGCGTACAAGAATTTGGGTGTGTACTTTTGCATTATGTAGTTTAAGGAAGGCATTACTGAGGTCACCACAAAGAACTCTGGAAAAACATTATCCAAAGAATAATTTAGTGCTCTCACCATGCCACTTCCCCAAGGGAAAAACTGAAGCATCTTCTCACATTCTCTCACTTGTATTCAAGTTGCATATGTATTCAAGTTGAATTCAGTAAGTCTAGCAGCTTTTTTATACATGAAACAAATTGCTGTTACTTTTTGCAAATCAGAGAAAAGGCCAAGCAACTGGTTGAATTCTCTTTTCTTTTGCTACAGATTCCAAGTGGCGGCCTCACTGAAATTTGCCGAAAACCTGTATCCCCTGGAAACATCTCTTCCATAACTGATTGGTTGGTTTCTGTGGGCCTCCCAATGTACTCAGTTTCTCTCAGAGCTGCAGGAATCCATGATTTAAGTAAAGTGCCTTCTCTGTCACAAACTTTGCTTCACGAGGCCGGCATCACTGAAGAGAGGCATATAAGCAAGCTTTTAGCAGCAGCAAGACTTCTGAACCCAGAGACAATTTAACCTATTCTGGAATATAGTATCTTTCTGTTGGAAAACCTACCATTTCTTTTAAAAGCAATTTCATCATTAATTGCCCCAAAAAACAGTTTTGGGAACAAGCAAATCTGGTCCTTCAGAAGGCTGGAGATCTTTATGGTTTCATCCTGCTCCATATAAAGCTGTAGAATTGGCTGTCCACGACAGGGAAGCGGTATGACCTGTTTTTTCCTCAAAGAAAAGGCACAACAAATTATATTAGTTTGCTAAGGACTCCTAAGCTTGCTTTTGGCCATTAAAAAAAAGAGAACTTTCTATATTCTTGAAAATTCAACAAGAACAACAGCAAACATCTTCAGTTTTTCTTCCAGAAATGGGGGGAGGTAGCAAATAGTAGGCCTCTAGATACTTTGGTTCCATTCAAAGGCTAAAGTGTAGCTAACTGACCATTAAGGATTTTTAGCCCTAAATGTACATTCAAATTCATGTATCCTACTGAGGGAAAATATAATTACGAGCAAACATATTAAGGATTAATTCTCTAATAGAGGTTCTTTCCTCATCCTTTCCATTTCAGCTATTTATATAAAAATATATTCATAAAGCTCTACCTTCCCAGTAGTTTCCCAGATGCCGGAACTGGAAGTCAGAGGTGATGAACACATAGCTTTTGAACTTCCCCACAAACAGAAGATGAGGCATAGACCAATAGTTGAGGGCCCCAGATTTCCATCTGACTGTAGCTAGGTCAGAGTTCCAAACTAGGTATAGCTTACCTATTACTCATTGCAACTTACCAATTTTTTTAAAGCTCCTTGTTTAGAATAAAGGTAATTTTGTAAAGTTTTGTTTAGCAACCAGTTTTGATTTGCCTTAAAATGCTTTTGAGCAGTTTACTTACCAGCCTCCAGGTTTATAAGACCTTTCATTGTTGCAGTTTTAATTTAGCAACAGACTTTTAGTCTAAAGATTTCCTGTATCTCATAACATCTCCTTTTGTAAAGTTGCTTTTTTGAAATCACAGACTTTAGTTCTCAGGCTAACAAGATGTTTATAGCAATTAATGTTTGTTGGCATTACTAAAAGGCTGAAAGATACTTTGCCTTTTGTATGTATATAAATATATAAATATGATAAAAATGCTTTTCCATGTTAATTGCAATTTTGTGTACTGTGATGCAGTGTCGTTCGGTTTGCTGCAGCTTTGACTTGGTATCCTGACCAAATCAATGGGACATTGGTTCCTCCTCCTGCCCCAAAAGACAAAATTACTGACTAAATAAGCAACATACCACCCATCACCCAGAGAATCAGAAAAATAACTCAGTTTCAGTTATTTTGGGGGGGGACCCTCAAGCTATAATTCCTGTAAAAGTAGGTAAAGCATGTCTATTATTAGGTGTTGAAATGACTTACTAGAATGGGCTGCTGGAGCAAACTGGTTTTGTTTTTTTTGTTTTGCAGTACCATGTTCTTGTTTACTAAAACTATTAAACTATACAGTGTAAAATCTCTTCCTTGTTTCTGTGGATATAGATAAACTTTATTTTTGTACATGATCAGACATACTGTATACCAAATAAGCTTGACACTTCGATTGTCCAGTAGTATCTACTAACTACTAACTAGCTACAATAATGAAGGCTTTTTCAGGATAAGTAATGCCCCAATAGTTTGAAGATGTAATGGACTCGGTCTGAGCCTGGGAACACAAAGCCTGATTTCACTTAGGTTCTCATCACCTCTCTGTGCCTCCCTTTGCATTACCTCTAAAACGGAAATAGTTTTACTTCAAAAGTGCAATATTCAGCTTAGAACATTTCCACAAAGCATAATATTGCCTTTCCAAAAACTCTTTCTCACCAGGTATCTTTCTTCTTCCTACTTTCTTTAAGATATTTATCAGGTATTTGAGGAATTTTACAAAAAAAAAAAAAAACCCTCACCTTTCCAACTTTCACCTATTTTATCTGTTTACTCTGACAAGCACAAAAGTGATTAAAGATTTCTGCTTGCTAAAGGAAAAAAGGATTGCGGTGAGTATTTCTTCACATATACAAATTTATTATTTTTTAATTAAATGAATGAATGACCATATATGCAGAGAGATATAGTGCTCTGCATCTAGGTTGTGTGGTTATAAACTTGTAAGATTTGCTGGATTTTTCATCTATTTGTAATATATGTACATGTTAATTTTAAAAAAAAATTATTACCATAAATGGTGATCCAGTGGATGCTGAAAGTGAGCCACAGAAATATGTCAGATATAAACAGTGCCATTATGGGTTCATGTTTACAGAATCACAGAATGACAAAAAAATCAATATTTTATACATCTCAAGAATTATATTCATGAGGAAGGAAACAATTTGTTAATCTGGGATCAGAGGGTTTTTAGACACCATTCATGCACGAATCCAGTGCCAGTTTTATTGATATTGCTATATACTGTTTAAAAATAATTTTAATGTGTTGTTTAATCTTTTGTTTCACTCAGACACACACACACACACACACACACAGACCCAATTCTTATGTATAAGAATTACATATTATTATAGTATACAACTGACGCAACTGCTGACCATTTCCCTGGTATTCATATTGATTCTGATAAAGCGTTAAATAATTTAGTATTTCATGTTGTAGAGGAATTCTAGGTGACACAAGAACCCCTAGGTTGGAAACCATCAACATTAAGCTAGACTCTTGTATTGATCTTCTGCAGACAAGAGGACCATTTTAATATATACGGAGGATGGTTTTTAACCAGCAGTTAATCAAAGAGTCAGCAGGGCATGCTTCACAGTCCTCCTGAGTATTGTTCTAATTATAAGTTTGCCTTTGGGTGCAAGTGGTAATGCTGTAAATAAAGATATCAGAGCACAAATCCTCATTAATCTTATTTATGCAAACTGTAGTGGAGCAATAAAGGTCAATTCACCAAGTCATAGCTGTACATATGTATTGTATTATTTTTAAGCAACATATTTTGTTCATGCTAAACCCTAACTGCAATCTCTCTTTGGGAATTAAAAAAAAAAAAGCAAAGTATGTAACAACTAACAAAAGTTGCACTTTCTGTATATGAATCAATATTTAAATAACTTATTTTTCTCCCATTTACTGTTCTTAAATAATGTAAGTAGATGTAATATACCAGCATCAATCTGTTCTTGCAATTTGCTTCCATCAGAGAAAGTTGTGTAAAGAGGAAAAAAAGAAAAAAAAATCATACAGATGTGTAAAGATTACTGTGCTGTTTTACTTAGAGAAAAGAAGCAACAAAATGACTTTTCTGTATATGAAAACAATTCTATAATTATGTTCTGTTGTTCACAGGAAAATAAAATTCATGTTCATACATGTATTTTTAATGTTCTTTTACACACTGCAATAAAAATTGAACTGAAACAATAAGGCAGAAAGAAGGGTAGAATTTTGCAGAAGTGATACGTTCCAAAGAGCCATCAGCTGTTGGAAAAGTGCTATTTCTTCCCCAGCGGCCTGGCACATAGGCCTCATGGCGCCACAGTACACCGCTGAAAGGTTCAGCCAACGAAGGTTCACTGGTGACAATGTTTCACGGACCACCTGGGAAAGGGAAAACTGAAGAGACATGTGGAGGATCATTCCTAGCCCCTTTGTTCCCTGGATGTACTCTCAACAAAGAAGATTATGCCAGCCATGGGGGCAAGGTGGCCATTTATTATGAAACCTATTTTGCAGAATTCTTTTCAATACTTTGTGTATTCGGATGACTGTTGGTATGCTCCATTTTAAGATTATATCCAGTCTTAATAAATTAAGATTAAACCAGTCTTAGGATTGGGAACTAGGATCCTTCAGAGTATAGTCCTGGGGAGAGGGAGCTGTCAAAGCACAGCTTCCAGTCTGGCCCTAATCTCTCATCATTTGGAAAATCACTAAAAACACATCTTTTTCATTAGGCTTTTAATTGTTTTTATGTTTATAACTTTTTATTTTGCATTTTTTTAAAAATTGACAGTTATCCTGGATATTGACTTGAATACAAAGTTGTGCTGAAAATTAAATGCAAAAAAATATAATTGGCATGTACAGGTAGTCCTCACTTAACAATGGTAATTGGGACCAGAATTTCTGTCATTAAGCGATGCAGTCATAAAGCACGATGTCATGTGACCATGCCACTTAGTGATGGCAGTTTCAGCAGTCCCTGGTTACCGTTGTTAAGCAAGAACCTCGTGTGATTGTGACTTCCAACTTCCTGATAGCTTTCCCATTGACTTTGCTTGTGGGAAGCTGGTAGGGAACATCGCAAATCGCAATCATATGACTGTGAGACACTGCAACAATTGGAAATCTGAGCCAGTTGTTGAGCACCCGGATTGTGATGTGACCATAGGGGCACTGCAACAGCCAGAACTTCAAGGACCGATCATAACCACTACTCATTCAGCACTGTCACAAGTTTGAATGGTTGCTGAACAAGTGGTTGTTAAACAAGGACCACCTGTAGACCATGGATCATGGGTAGTCAGGTTATCTTGCTCTAAAGCAGGCAGAAATTGACAGACAAGCTGAAGTAGCCTATAATGAGAAAAGTTTAAGGGGTAAAGAGAAGGAATGAGTAAGATGGGATAGATTGAGGAAAAGGAATTACAAACAGTAAGATTGAAAATGCAGTAAAGGTCTATACCACTGTTTTTCAAACTTGGCAACATTTAACATGTGTGGACTTCAATTCCCAGAATTCCCCAGCCAGCATCTTAAAGTTGCCAAGTTTGAAAAACACTGGTTTATACAATACATTGTTTTTCTCATCCTTCCCAAATTGTTACTTACTATCTCCATTAAACAGCTAGCCTTTATTTAGTAAGGCAATGATTGCTAAACAGAAAACTCTCTATTCCTTGCCCAGACCTTAACCCTTACCCCAAGTTATTGCTTCCAGTGCATGACCTAGTTTATATTTTTGCTCTTTTGCTTACCATTAAATACAACAACCAGCAAATGTTCTGTATTTAGTAAAAATACAGTGAAAAAGTATATTTTTTACACAATTTAGATAAAGTATAAAAAGTAACTCATAGTAAAATTCCATTCCATTAAGTCACCCTAATGGTATTAGTTCCTATGATGCAAACACCTATTTCAATTTTCAGTGTTGAAGGCTGTTACATATATTTACAAACATACAATAAATATATAGTGGAAAAATATGGTCCTGACTAACAGCTACCTATGATTGCAACTAATTTATACACTGATCAAATTGAGTATATCAACTGCCATTTTGCTATTGTTTTGAAAATTCCCCTGGATTGCTAATCTTATTGATATCATCTTTTAATACTTATACACGCTCAAGATGGCTTCCAATGAAATAAGACCTCACAATAAAACCTGAATATAAGGACAAAAGATAGCAATTGCAATGAAATACAAAGGAACAGAGGCAAATTAAACTTCAGGAACTTTATGAGGCAACGCCTTTACAGGTAGACCTTGCTTAATGACTGCCCTGTTTAGGGACCGTTTGAAGTTATGACAGCATTGAAGAAGTAACTTTACAAACAATCCTTGCACTTACAACTATCACATCCCTGTGGTCATGTGATCAACATCTGCACACTTCACAGCCAGCTTCTGACAAGCAGAGTCAATGGAGAAGCCAGCAGTAAAACTGCAACTCACAGTCACGTGATGTCTTAATGACCGTGGCTGATTCGTTTAACAACCGTAGAAGTGACATTGTAAGTCCAGTGCAATCACATGTTTCTCTTAGCAACTGTGTTGCTTAGCAATGGAGTTGCCAGTCCCAACTGTCCCACTAAGTGAGGACTACCTGTACTAAGTGATAGAAGATAAGATGGGGACTCCCACCTATCTAGTAGGGTGTCCCATAGTTGAAGAACAGACTCTTAGAAAAGCCCCACCTAAGTCAAACAAACCTCTTTCAGATTTAGGTAGCTGTCAGGCAGCCACTTTTCAACCTTATCAATAATAAAAATAGAAGAAATCAGCACAAATTTTGAGCATTCTTCCTTTGCAAAGTTAGATTGGCATCCATCTTCATCACTGACTCAGCAGTTCATTCCTGCAAGAGGACAATGTTCCAGCAAATGGGAAGAGGGCATTCCCTGCAGGCATTGTTATTCTTATACACAGCCACAGGCTGTATTTAAGCTACCTTTCAGTAACAAAATAGAAATAAAAACCAGCATGACTGCAACAGCCAATTCTTTTCTATATTCTTTTAACAAGAGTTATGCCTTCTGAAAGGGCTGCAGCAGGAGTATTTTGAAAGCTTGTCAAGATAGAAGTATTTTCTATTCCCTCCGTGACAGTATGTACACGCTAAAATCTAACAAAATCACTAACATAGACTTACAAAAATATATCCAGAAATAAGGAAATTGCTTTCTGAAAACCATCTGCAAACAATTCCAGGCCAAAAGGCAAGACACAAGTTTAGAGTAAAAAACTAGCTGTTGTTGTTTCCAAAGGACAAAAAGTTTAGAAAATTTTCAAAATATAACTTTATACCTTAACATGCCCTGTTATAATTGGTTGGTCAAATTTTGGTAATTATGAATATTGTGTTTCTATCTTCTCTGCTAATAGAAGTGAGTAACTATCTTAATGAGCTTGGCTCCTTTCCAGCAACTTTGATATAATCCAGATTATCATCGCCATCATCATCACAATTTTTTAGTAATGCAGAATCTCAGTAGTTGGCTAACCAGAAATTGCTATGAAAAAATGTAAGTTCAGAATTTGGAGATGGCAAAATATTAGTGTAAGCTTCTTGGTAGCTGTTTGGTTTCCAGACTGTCCAGTTTCTAGTCTATTCCAAATAGTTAAAACATAATCCAACGGGTGCACAGTGATCCAAGATGTGACAAAGCTGAATGAAATGTGGGTCTTGTTTGGAAGAGAATATCCTGAATCCCAAGGAAATGTCTCATAGCACAGCCCTCTTTCAGGTTTTTTTTGTAAAATATTACCCCTTAATAAAAAGGCAAATCTACAATCGCTGTGGATTAAACAACATGAAACAAATAAATCAGCCATGGGCACAATCATTATATGAGATAGGCAGCCATATAAGTCCTGTAAATTAAAAAAAATGTCTTATGGAAACTAATGTGAGAACTAATGTCCTCATAGACACACCTCTTGGCACTGACCAGATCCCTGCTCAATTTGATTTTGTTTTAAACATTATTTTAATTGGAAAGAAATTAAAATGAGAAACTGGCCTGTTGCAGTGACAGCTCCCAGCATCATTTTTGTTTTCAAAAATAGCCCCATATATGCCTCACAGGCATTTTTAAAAAATAAAATAAAAAATGAGGGAGCATAAAAATAACTATCTATGTATGTATGTGTATATGTATGAATGAATGAATAAATAAATAAATAAAATGACAGGTGGCTGGAGCCTAGTCTTGGAAAATCTGCTTATACACATAGTGGAAATAAGACAAAAGATGGGGCCATTGAGAACAGTCTCGATGGCTAAAGAGAATGGTGGGGTGCAACATTTTCAGGTTGCTCTTTATTGTTTGGTGAATATAGTACCATTACATTCCTAGACCCCATATACAAGTTAATTTTGGTACCAAGGGAATGCCTATCATATATTATTTTTCTTTATTAGTGAGCAAAAGCAACCTACCCACTCCTTCATTCCTGGATCCAGGCTTACTAGACATGGTGTATAATACCCAGACAGCCCAGAGCAATGCCAGTATGATTTTTTTTTTCTGTTTAAGTTCTATGTTAAGCATAACCTTAGCTGACAATTATGAAAAAGTACCTGTTGATATGTTTTCATCCAATGGGAAGATCTCCCAGATAATACTTAGTTGGACTTAGTGAATATAAAGGACAAATGAAATAATTGCACTAAGAGCCAATAAATAATGAAATCAAAATGCAGTACAAATTAGCTAACAGCTGATTTGGAACAAAAATAGAATCTATTTAATTCCTGCAGGTACCAGTAAGAATCTGTGAAACTACAGTAGAAAGAGCAAAGAAAAGAGAATGAAAGTGCAACTTGA